TGTAAGCGCCTTGTCTCTTTTGATTCACTATTGAGTCCCCAGCCCCAGAACAATTCCTGGCACCATTGGGACTTTATGAGTATGTGTTAAATGAAAGCAAGGGAGAATGACTTAAGAACCAGTCTCAATTCTGGGAAGCTGGAGAGGGAAACAAATAGTGGTGTGGCTTTATTTTATATTGATGTTGTGATGAGTGTATGCAGACCCTGCGTGCACACACAAATAAACCCTGCATTTTGTCTGCTGGCGGGAGATGCTTGTTACTTGCTGCTTTTTTTATTCTAGATGAGACAGAAGGACCCAGTGAAAGGAATGACGGCAGATGACTAAAGCCACCCCTCTCCCTTCTGCACTGTACGTACCACATTTTCACTGCGCCTGTCATGGGAGCTAAAATTTGTTTGAGGCCTCAAGGCCTAAGCATCTCAATTGTGAAATCAGAAGCCTACTTCATTCGCATCCTTCCCACTAGTATTGATGATGACTAACACGCTAAACCAGCTCTTAGGCTTCAAGTGCCATTGAGAGTGATTGTGAGCATTAGGACATTTCAGGGACATGTTGTTTTATAGAGGATACCTAGATGGGCACAGAGTGTTAAGAAAAGGCAGGGAGGCATGTGGGCATAGAAGCCAGGCTTGTTTGCTAGTAATTACTCTTCTCCTCTTATAACTTGAACTATTTCAAATTGAAGCTGGCACTTTGTATATTTGTGGTACCAAAGTGCCTTCATAAATCCCACATGCTGGAATTCCCTGCCCTGCCACTGGAAAACTTGCTGGTCAAATAGATGTTCTTAGCAGTCATTGTTGTCATGGTACTTCATTTATTCCTCCTTTATAGTTCCATAATAGCCCCACCAGAAGCATCATCTTTTCTGTGTTGGAAGAGGAAGACCAGGTTGGGGTTTCCTTTGTTCAAGACTGTCACCAGTAACTCCCATTAACCCCCATGCTGGTTCCCCAGGGCCCGCACACTTGCTTTTTGCAGCCCAGTATCTGAGAGTGTTCTTGGTCAGAGAATGAAAAACACAGTCCTGCTCCCTATGAGTCTTGAAAGTTCTTTTCTTTACCTTTTATTGTAATTTGAGTAGAAATTTACGGGGCAAATGAAAACTGCCTGTCCTCCAGCACCCGGGAGGCCCAGGTTCTCAGCAGCAGTGACGCAAATCTCTGCTGTCCTCCCCTCTCCGTGCCCCTTGAAGCTGCTTTGGGACCTCGGAGGGCAGGGTGAAGTGGAGTGTTACAGTGCTGGCTACTTAGTCACTTTGGGGGCCTTAGTGGGCTCCCTTTCCCTGTGTCTAACCCCCAACTGCCCAATATCCTTTTCCCTATTAAAGGTGTAACTGTAGATGTTTTTTTCTTTTTCCTGGTTGCTTCTTTAATAATTGTCTTTCTCTTCTAGTTTTTCAAGACAGTGGTCAGCAAGAAGGCCCAGCAGCTCCACCCTCCTGAGTGACAGGCCATCTTTGGACGCAGCCTTTCTGTGCCCATTCTTCAGGCAACTCTCAATCCCTCACTGTAGCTACTCCTAGATGCCCTTTATTCTTGTGAACAAATAGACCGTCTGGTATTACGAAGCCCATGTGTTCGGGAGCCTGCTTCTCTGGGATAGTGTGGCGTGTAGGTTGCTGTATTTACAGCTCCTCCCTCTCTCCATTGTGTTCTGACCCATTTCTCTGTGTGCCCTCCCCCACCCCAATTTTATTTCCAAGTGACATTTTTAGTCTTTCAAAATAGCTGCCTTTTGTGATGTGGTGATTTAAATGATTAAGTTTGTGTTCAATCTTAAGGTAAACTGAGGTATTCTGCTTCCTGGGTAGATCTTTGCTATTTTGAGTGTGTACCTGGGGAGAGGGGAAGAGTTCAAAATACAGGGCTTTCTCCTCTAGTTCCACAGAATTGTAGTGTGGCTTCATAACTCTGACATCTGTTCCTGGTAAACCACTGGTAGAGTGTTCTAGGCATCAAGCAGCTCAGCCAGTCTTTTAAAGAAAATGTAACGAGTTCACATAACCCCAAGCCCTAGCCATTGCAACTCTGGCCACTATGAGGAATACCTATGGCTTGTCGGTCTCCTGTCCCCTCTCTCTGAATCTCTCTTCAGAACCCATCATTTTCCCAAGCCAGCTCTCTACCTGGAGAAACTTGCCCACTTTGGCCCTTAGAATTGAATTGCCGTATTGATCCTCATCAGTCAGTCTAACTCCTTAGGACCTCTGTGTGTCCATGCTCCTCTTCCCTTTTGGGCTGGTGCTGCCACTCAGCAATAATCCTCTTTTCTCTGTGCTCTCTTAGATCCCTCCCCTGTTTTGGAGGCTGGTTACGGCCTGAGTCCTGATCCTTTCATGCTGCGCAAAATGAGCATGCAAAAAGCTCCCTTCCCAGCAGAACATGTTCCCTCATCTCTCCAGCATTGCTGGAAAAGCATTTGGGGAACAAGGACTCAACTGTCCTATCCCCATGCTGCCTGAGTTCTGTCCTGGACAATCAAATGCAAGAGGTGATTGTAGTACAGAACTCTGCAAAAGTTAGAGGGGAAGGAAGTCCAGGCTCCAGATAAATGGAACCTACTGAGGGGTTCACAGTTCCTCAGCAGAGTTGGAGTAGGCCTGCCTAGTAAGAGAATCTGAGCTAACTCTGGGGTCACCTGACATTGCTGTCCCAAACCTTGTGAAGTCAATTGAACTGAGTGCCGCCATCCAGGACTGTGCTAGCCTGGATGCAGCTGCTAATGAGAGGTGGTATCTCTGTGAGAGGAGGGGGGTGGGATAATTTATCCTTATGTTTTTGTCAAGTTTGCTTTGCCTTATTCATTTCTAAGTGCAATAAGGGAGTGTCTCACAGGATTGTACCTGGGACCCCCTGATGGATGCTTCCCTGTGACCCTTCTGGGATAAGGGTAGACAGACTCAGACTCCTCAGGATGGTTAGCTCTGACCTTCACTGAGGCCCCTTAGGGACCAGGAGATGTGCTATACAGACTCTTCCCTCCTTATTAGTCTCCTCATGGTGTAGAGTCTGTGGTAATGATCTGGGCCACTCTAGTTGGTTTTTAGGTAGCATTTATTTGTCTAGGAAGGTTGGAGAAGAGGCATTCCACCTGGAGAAAAACATAAATATTTTCCTATAAGCTGTTATAGCTATTTGTGCTTAAAGACTTCCTTTCTTCATTCATTAACTAGGTGAAGTCCAGATGGGGGTTATCCTAAACGAATCAAACTGATTCTAATCAGAGAGTTGTATTTGTGGTTTGATGATCAGCAGATGTCTCTTCCTTCAACTCTTCTTTGAGATCCATGCATATCACTTCAACTCTAGTGGGGAATTTTTCTTTAGCTATCTTTTCTCGAGCTCTCCAAACCTTCGGTTGTCCTAGTTTAACCTGGAATAAAAGCATCTACATGAGCTGAGCTAGAATTTCCAGGAGTCAACCTGGATCCTGGGCTCCTTCCCCTAAAAACATAAAGAAGGCAGTTCCCTGGTCTACTCCATCCTCTTAAATGGTTGCTGCTGGACAACAGTATTGGCCTCTTTTATGTACCCCTTCCCTCCTCACCCACTCCACTAAACCAACTAGCACTCAGAGGGGTTTAGAATGAACTGTTCAGCTCTGGGGGTAGAACCTGAGAATGTGCCACACCCCTTGGACCAGCTGGTTCCATTAGACTTCCAGGGTATAGTCCTGTCTGGAAGCAGCAGTGCCTCTGGGGAAGGAGTACTGGACTCTGGCTTCTTATGAAGAGAAGCCAGAGGAGGGGTTCAGTATTGTGGGCACATGTATACCTTCCCAAGTTCTCTTAGACTCCCTGCTGGGACCCCTTGATTTGTTTTGGTTGGTTCCTAGTGCTACTTCTTTTACAAAATACACTTTGTAGAATTGATTAGATTACCTTGTTTATTTAATGTGAGTTTGTGCCTTTTTGTCTCAATCTTCCAATACAGGTATATTGGGGGGGAAAAGCAGTCTAATAAAATTCTAGACAGAGCTCTCTGGAGTCCAGCTTATTGGTGATGTCCTTATGTCCATTTCACAATTTATGTTATCCTCAAACTCTTGCTGATGATCCCTCTTTTACCAGGGAAAGATTAGGGAAAACTACAAGCTGTGCCTGGAAATTTGTACAGGTGCATTTCTGTACATTAAAATAGGCCCTTATCAATTTACATATGCAAACAAAGAAACCCTAAGTTAGCTGTTTTATACTGGAAGTTATGTCCCTTATCTCCCTACCAAGCAAGGCATTTATTGTGGAGTTCTTAACCTAGTTTCCAGTTGGGGGAATCGCCTGAGGTTTGCTTATGAAAATGCAGTGCTTTGCTTTTCTCTCTGAAGAGCCATGTCTTCATACCCTCAAAGGAATCCCATGTTCCCCTCCCCAAAAATAGGGTCAGGGCCAGGGATTTGTAGGAAATACTAGATCATTGCCAAAATAAATACTGATTTTATATCTGTGGTCGTAAAATAGAGGCCAGAGAAGATTAGCATACCCCCTGCGCAAGGAAATTTGTGAAGCGTTCCATATTTTTGTGTGTCCGAGACAGTAAGATTGGCACAGGATAGAGCAACGTATAGGGCTGTTTGTACATAGGGTCACTATGAGTCGCAGGCGACTCGACGGCACAAAACAGAAGCAAAGGCTTGTTCTTCATTAATTTATGGTTAATTTTCAGAGAGTCCTAAAACGCCAAAATGACCACGTGAGATAAGTAACTAAGCTTAAAATTAGTATAAACCTTAAACTGCTTTGCAATCTCGAAGGCGCGCTGTTCAGATGCTCCGCTGGAGACAGAGGTGCAGTCTCCTGTGCCAGTCGGATCTGATTCGAGGGTACACACACATACAAAAATTAGTATAACACTTGAAATTGGGAGTAGAAAGGACAACTAGGAACGGAGGAGCTCACTGATTACCCTTCGGAATTGCCTGTAATTGTCAGGGAAGAGATGGAGCACAGCGGCGAGACTACCTCGCCCCCCGCCTCCCGCCCCCCATTCCAGCCTGTGGGTGTTGGGAGACTTGGAGGACCGTGCGCAGAGGCCACCGATTTGAGATCATTAGTGAAACGACGGGAAGTGGCGGGGCAGTGCGGGCGTGGCGGTGGCTTCCGCCGGAAAGCCAGGAGGCCGCCTCGCGCATGGCTTGCTGGGAGCCGCGAAAAGTTCGGGGTGCCGGTGTCCACCGCACACCGTCTGCCGGGTGTGGCAGTGCTGCGTCTGATTTTGACAGCAAAGGGCACGCCTCTGACGTCCCATGATTCCCTAAGCCCTTCTCCCGTCAGCCTTTCACGGTTTCGCGCTCGCTGGAGAGTCCCGCCTCTTTCCCTAGGCCGCACCAATCAGAGCCTTTGATGCTCTCAAGACCCACCTCTTACGGAAGCCGAGGCGGAGATTCTGAATCCGGAAGAAAAACACCACTGCTAGAGTGAGTTCCCCAGGAGCTGAAAGAGGTTTGTCGTGCCAGGACGCGGTAGAATTGGGGAGACTGGAATCTGCTGCACCCTTCCGTGTGGATGATGGCGGCCATGACCGTGCAGAACCCGACCGAGCCGAAAGTCAGTAAGCTCAGGTGAGGCAGTCTGCACGTTGGCTCTTGGCGAGTGACCTACCTGCGACTGGGGCTGTGTGGATCTGGGGGCGGATTTAGATTTAGGGAGAAGGGGCCGGGCCTGCCGTTAGCCTGTCATTCTAAGGTTGCATGACCCATGCTTTCCGTCCAGTCGTTTCTATTTTTAATGCCTCCCTTCCAGATCCATCCAGGCCAGCGTACAGTTTTGGGCCTGAGTCCTGCACCCACTCTAAATTCAGGTTCCGAATGCGTTCTCATTGGGGCGCTCGATAAGCAGATGTTGCAATTTACTTTTGGAGCGGTCCCTGACAGTATGAGTTGAAAACCATAACAAAGCGTTCTCTCTTTGACCCTAGGTTAGAAATCTTCTCCCCCCCCCCATTGATCAGCACATACAGCCTGAGATCTTTATAATCTGCTTGTGACCACAGTCTTAATCGACAATCAGATTTAGATAAGATTCTTTAATGAAGAATAAGCTGATCCCATGTCTGCTTCTTACTAAGGCACAATGCTAGTCGTTATCTTAGTGCGCGTCACAATGGAAGAATTTGCCGCTGAGTAGTTGGACTTAAGTATTGGAACAGGAAATCACAAGTTTTGCTCTTATTCCATTTAGAACAAGATCCTGGGGAAACAGTGAGAGCCTTTGAGTTAAAGGGCTGCCCTTTTTAATCCTTCGCTGGACAGCAGGGGGAGACCATAAACAAATGAAGCACTTAGTCTGAGCGCCTTGGGAAAGTAGTTTTGCTTTTTGTGTGTTCATAGGGAGGGGCAGGAAGTTGCTTTAAGCAGGCTGAGGATTTCTTCTAGCCCCGTCTTTTAGAACATGGACCTTCGAAACTGGGAGCTCAGAATGACATCTTGTGGAGACGAGATGTTTAGGACATCCTGACACCTCTCAACATCTACTCCCACTTAGTCTTATTCTAAGTCTTTAGTTGTTGCAGTTCTTCATGTGGGCACTGTAGAACTCATATAAGACTTAATGACTATTCTTGCTCTTTGCAGGGTTTGCATCCCCTTCCTTCCTGCTCTGTGCTCACCCCAGTCTGGGCTTCTTTGGTGTGTTGCTGTGGCAATTCAGTTAATGATATCCCCACATCCCTCCTTCCCCTGAGCCTCTGGTGGGATCCAGTGTCACTGAGAGCAGTTGACCAAGTGCCATTGCTTCCTTTGTTGTTGTTATTGTGTGCCTTTGGGTTGGAACTGACATACAGCTGACCCTCCAGCATGTTTTCAGAGACAATAAATTTGCATGAGAGGAGATTGCCCGTTTTTTGCCTGTGAAACAGCTGGTGTGTTTGAACTGTTTGCCTTTGGGATTGCAGCGCAACTTCTTGCCACTAGGCCACCAGAGCCACTGGGATTGTATAAAGTTGTGGTAGAGAATGTTACCCAGATGATGAGTTTTCCCGAAGGAGAGTAGATGCTTCAGAGAAATGTTGAGAACCAATCCTTTTACTTAGCTGTTTCTCCTTAGACCCCAAGTGCTTAATAGGATTGGTTCCAGGATCTGTGAGGAAGGGAATGTGGTGGTTTTTGTAGTCCTGAGACTTCTCATCAGGGGAGAACGGAGCCTCCCAGATCCTCCTGTTGGTTTCAGGACCCTTGGGTTGAGAGAGTGAGAATGAGGACTTGCCATGTGGACCACAAACGATTGCTGAGGTTTGGGTGGCTGGAAGAGCTGATGAAATCAAGGTGATGTTCTACCTCTCCCCTATGCCATTTGGCAGCTCTGCTGGAGTAACACCAGCACTTCCAAGTGTGAGCAGCTGTAAACCTGCGTGGCAGAGCCATCCAGAGTGAGGATTCTTACCAGAAACAAAAGGTGGGGGGGAAATAAATGACTTATTCTCATTGCCTCTATTCCTATTGCCAAATACAGAATTTCACATTCATCTCTATAACTGCATTGGATACAGGTACAGCCATTAACAGGCCTAGACTCCTTGCCATTGCCAGGATGAGATCTTATTCTCCTCCTTCCATGACCAACTTTTGTGTCCCCTCCATAGCATACATGTTGTCACGTGGAACGTAGCCTCTGCAGCACCCCCTCAAGACCTCAGTGACTTGCTTCAGCTGAACGAGAACCTGGATCTGGACATGTATGTCATTGGGTAGGTGTTTGCAGAGCCACTTCACCCATCTCTACACCTGAGGTCAGGTGAGATAACCTCTTGTCCCTGTGGGGAACCGCTGTGACTGCCCTCCCTTGCTCTGGAGTCTGAAGGCTAGCAGCTTTCAGGCCTGTATCAGGTCTGGTCCAGTATCTCTGCTCTTGAGTCAACAGTGAGAAGGGAATGGAGCCTGACAGGAAGGGGGGGAGAGAACCCAGAACCTAAATGTCAGGCACACCTTAAATGGGGCAGAGGCAGCATCCTCCAGGTCAGAGGTAGAACCTCTGACCTAGGGTGGTCAGTTTGCAGGAAATGAACTCTGGGATCATAAGCCTTCTTTCTGACACTGCTTTTGAAGACCCATGGAGCAGTTTCTTCATGGATGTGCTTTCCCCACTGAGCTTCATCAAGGTAATTTACACGTTCATCTGTGATGGGGAAATGTATCCCGCCTCTCTGCACTAACCAGCCCCTAGTCATTGATCTGATATGGTCTTCTTTCTCCCGCTCTGGCTTCACATTGCTCCTCCATTTATTTACAGGCTGAAATCTCTGTTGTACTTGGTTACCTGGGGCTGCTGCTTGCCTGTGGCTTTCCAAAGTAGCTGGAGCTGAGTGGACCCAAGGGGCTAGTTTAGCACCTTGATATTTTTCAGCTTAGGAAAATTCCTAGGGGAGGTGCAGCAAATCTTGTTAACACTACAGGGCCTACCCTCCACCTAGCCTCCAATCTCCCCTCACACATCTAGCTGAGATTTCCGAATTGGATAACAATTGTTACCGTTTACCAAATGCTTGCTTTGTGGTAACATTACAAATAAAATACTTAAACAAATAATAAATAAATTTAATACTTAAATAAATATTAAATATTTAAATATGTTATTTAAAAATGTTAACAACCTTCTTGAAATAGAAGATAAAATCATGGCCAGAGGTTACATGAAAAAGGTCACACAAGCTGTCTGGAATTTTAATCTTTCTGACTTCATAACCCTTATCCTTAACTACTGTGCTTTATTGTTATACTCATGAGCTCTGAGACTGACAGAATCCCATTGCTCTCCTGCTGGTGACAGGGCATCCTCCTGTCCTAGGAACACATACGTCAGTTTCCCAGGAGCCTAAGGTTAGAGGAAGGGAGATAGTTATAAAGGAAAATTTCTCAGGCTGAGGGCTCAATATACTTTAGACTGTAGACTGTAGGCAAAGCCCTAGGAAGGCTCTAGGTTGGTAGCTCTCTATTTTGTTTCTACCCTGAACACACACTTCTTATCTTTATACCCAGTAGGCTGTTTCTTGGAAACACCAGCATTCCATTTATTCTCATCCATAGGTAGGTAGTCTTCAGACCACTCAGGAGAATTCCATTGTGCTAATTTACAGAGCTCACTCACTCAATCTCATTGACATAGAGTTAGAACTGACTCATAACTGACCTTCAAAGTGGGTTTTCAGAGGAAGCAAGTCAGGCTGCAACCTCAGAGCAGCTAGTGAATTTGAACCACCTGCCTTTGAGTTGACAGTGCATCATCCTGCCCACTAGGTCACCAGAGCTCCTTAAGTGATGAGCTAGGAGAAAATAGAAGATTTTATTTTGCTGCTGTGGCTAGAAACTTCCGGTCTCTGTGCCCTAGGCTCCCTTCAGTTCAAACTCAGAGGTCTGTTCAGAGAGCTGTGTTCTCTGGAGAAAACAGAACCACTTCTCTCACCACCTACTCCCCTTCCAGTCCTTCAGGCTGCCTCATGCTTTGGCTGGCTGGCAGGGAATTAGAATGGAGCTAAGCCAAGGAAATTAGCTCAACTGTGGCTAGGACACAACCCATTCCACCCAAACAGTCTCCTGAGTTTGGAAAGCCAGACTCAGGTCCTGCAACCCAAAGTGGATATGCCCTTCCTTCTTCCAGCCAAGAATTGGGGTGGAAAGGAGAGCTCTGTTTGCAACCTTTTTTTGAGTGGTAATTTGCAAGCCATAGGTGGAAAAGCTTGAGGCTGACTCTTAGCCTGTTCTTAGACTCCCAGCTACCTCCCTTCAATCTCTTCCATAGCTCCTCCTACTGGAACTTCCCATAACTCCATCTTTTCTCCCTGCCCCTTCCTGTACCTTACACCTCCACCTTACACCTTACATCCTACTCCTCCACAGAATGACTGGTGGAGTTCAGTAACCCAAATTGTTCTGTGGGTTAAGGTTAAGAGTCTTGTTCTGTTCCCTCACTTCAGTCCCAAACCTGAGAGTCAGTCTCATATTTCATCCCTTCTTCAGTTCTTGTCATACAAGCCTGTAAATAGAATGGATAGAAGACAAGAGGAGGGGTTTAGGATACCTTTTTTTAGTAACCTCGACCAACCCCAGCTTCTGCTCCTTTCCTCACTCCATCCTAGATTTGGGGTTCTCCCTGCTTTAACGCCTTCACTGTGCCGGGACGCCCTGGCCTGTGGGATCATGTTTCATAATTCCTGGAAGGCCCCAGTACATGCTCCCCACCCGGGGATTTCCTCCTTGGCCTCTGCACCTCACGGTCCGGAAACAACTACTCAGGTGGTGGATGTAGACAGCCTGAACCTAGGAGAGTCAGTCACTGGCTACAGCCTAGCCTCACCCCACCCCCATGGCCTCAGACAGTGGGAATTTGGGCCATCCTCATCCTCTGATGCCACCCGCTAGGTCATCCTACCCGTTCCTTCACCTCCCTGAGCCTCAAGCTCCCTCGTCTCAAAAAAGGCCAGTGATTCCTGCAGGGCTAGCATGAGCAATCAAGTAGAATAATGCATAGAAAGTATTTCATTAGATAACAGATATTTTTACTAACAAGAGTCTTCACAACTCACTTCTATGCTGACTTCTTGACTGTCAGCTTCCCACAGGTTACATTTATTTGAGGGAGGCAACACATTGATTTAAACTTGTTTTGTGAGCAGGTATAATATATGAAAAGATATGTACAAATATTAAGTGTACAGTCTGGTGAACTTTTTCGTATGTATACACCCCTGTCATTACCCCTAAACAAGTTGTAGTATACTCCCAGCACCTAGAACGTGTGCTCATGTTCCTTCCTGTATTTACCCTGAAGCATCCTTTTAGTAGAAAAACAACAGCTGCCAGTTATTCTTTACAAAAGCTATGCAATAGTACTGTCCCTGCATATCAATGAGAGAACACGCCAAGAAATACACTCGATAGCAAATGCTAAGTCAGGGACAAGATTTGGTCCCAGACCTGACTAACTTCAAGGCCTCCTTAGCCCTCTCCTGAGTAGCCATGTTTTTCCTTGAGACCCTGCCAGCATAGGTGGCAGCCCAAGAGCACCCGGAGGATTTTCAGAAGGGAGAAGTGTATATAGTAGACATGCCCAATAGGGGTGGGAACTGAAAAGCAAAGCCCTCCTGGTGACAGGGTGTCTGGGAAGCCTCGCCTCCTCTCCCTTCCTCCCAAATCCGAGAGCTAAAACTGAAGCCTGTTCAGTTCCCAGAATATATCATTTGACAGCTGAGACTCAAGCACACACTCAGACTGTGCTGTTCAGTGAATGACCATGGTCCCCACTCTCCTGCAGGTCTCCTGTGTCCGCATGCAGGGGCTCCTCTTACTGATCTTTGCCAAACATCAGCATTTGCCCTTTATCCAGATCCTCTCCACCAAATCCACCCCTACCGGCCTCTTCGGGTACTGGGTAAGGACTGAGCTGTTACCTGACTCTTGAGCTGGGAAGGTCTCCTGCCCCTGGGCTGGGAAGGGCTGGTTGCCTTAGAGCTCTCCAGAGGGAAAAAGAGAAATGAACATTTGAACTCTCTACAGGCCACTGCCCTGCCAACTAAGTCTTCCTCCCACCTCAGAGGGGCCTCATTAGCCCTGAGACCTCCAGTTGGGCTAGCAGGGCTCTGGATGGAGAGATTACCCTGGGAGGGCCTGGGGGAGATGAGATTATCTTCCCTCAGACCTCAAGTAGGGAAAGAGAGGTGTGTCCAACCCAGAACAGTTCCCACCCTTCTGCCCACATATCCTACTAGGGGAATAAAGGGGGAGTCAACATCTGCCTGAAGCTTTACGGCTATTATATCAGCATCATCAACTGCCACCTGCCCCCGCACCTGGCCAACAATGACCAACGGCTCGAGCACTTTGACCGAATCCTGGAGATGCAGAATTTTGAGGGTGACATCCCTAACATCCTGGACCATGAGTGAGCACAGAGTTGCAAACTGCTGCAGCTCCTGCCCCCCAACCCGCCCCCCAGTGACTAGGCTAGTTGTCTCCCTGGCCAAAGCCAGACTCAGCGGGTGTTGTCTCCCACCTCTCCCAGCCCTTTCCTGATTCCCTATCTGCCCTCCTACGCATAGCTTTGCCTGCCTGGCTCAGGAATCTCCCTTTTGCTTTCATCAGCCCCTCCGTACTGACTTCTGAATATCCCAAGTCAAGATCTTATGGTTACTGAGGTTACCGAAGGCTGTTTCTGAGCCTTTGTAGGTTCGCCAGTGGAGGGAGAGGAAGGGACAATTACATCATGCTCTGTATTTGTTCTGGTATTCTGGTCTCTTGGTGTAGGAGCCATGAGAATAGTCCTGTTGGGCCTATGCCCTTGGCTTCACTTGATTACAGCCTGTCCCAGCAGACGGCCTCCTAGCTGCTGCCCCTGGAGCTTTCCACTCCAGAAGCCCTGGGATGAGCAAGTCTGAGTCTCCTATGCCTCCCTCCTCTGACTTCATCACAGACACTCAGGCTGCCCTCCTTTCTTTCTGAAGCCTCATTATTTGGTTCGGAGACATGAATTTTCGAATCGAGGAGTTTGGGTTGCACTTTGTTCGGGAATCCATCAAAAACCAGAGCTACCGTGAGCTGTGGGAGAAGGATCAGGTATGGTGTGAGGGAGGACCCTAAGGGGTGGGCTGAGCCTGTGGCCTGACGTGCTGCAGAGATAGGGGTTCAGGTTTCCCAAAGGCTGTTCTCCTTTCCCAGACTCCTATATCCCTGTTCCCAGGCAGGAGCGTAGCAGGGTTTTGCACCTGGGGTGGGATGGCCAGTCCTGTCAGCACCTGGTCTTTACCTGGAGGAGCTGGGACGCAGCTGCTGAATGCATTTAGGGAGAGAGAAGGCCTTTGACCCACCTTAACACTACACCATGTGTTAGCTCACTCGTAGCCCTGCCTCCTCACCCTCTGCCGAACTGCCTTAGAGCAGCCCACCTGTCAGGTTGTTACATATTAAATACCCACCACATTATGTCATTTTTCCCCATCCCCAGGCTTGTCTCCTGGATGATGAGATACTCCCATTTAGGGAACCCTGGCTACCTTATCTTTCTTCTCTGACATATGCTAAGCTGCTAATGGCTCCTAAAACAGACCAGAAACCCCTAATCTCATCCACTCAGTCTGACTTGTAACGACCCTCCATCTAGTACCCAAGGCTAGGAATCTCTCGTCTTTTTCCCCTGGAGCACCTGCTGAATTTAAACCATTGACCTTTCCATTAGTAGCCCAGTAGGTTACACTTTACACCACCAGGGCTTACTGAAAGCTCCTAGAGAGAGAGAATTCATAGTCAGGTCCTGAACTGGGAAAGGATAGGCAGCTGCGTTCACGAGGTGGGGATGATGAAGTGAAGTGGTGTTGTGTCACTCTTGTTCATGTGTGATGGCCTGTGTGAGCCTTTGACTGGAGAATGGCACTGTGTGTTGGGTTAGGACCATCGAGAGATGGCACCTTTGATTTTCTCCACAGCTCAGCATTGTCAAGAAACATGACCCACTGCTCCGGGAGTTCCAGGAGGGTCCCCTGCTCTTTCCACCCACATACAAATTTGATCGGAACTCCAGCAACTATGACACCAGGTGAGGAGGCCTTGCTAGGAAGTGGGATCGGGTCCATACTAGTGGCAGTGGGAGCTACCTCAGAGTAAAAATGTCAGGAAAGCGGGAATAGGTGCAGCCATTACTTCTCTGGGATGGTGCCTCCTGTCCCCTTGGGAGCTGCTGGCTGTGGAAGTTGTTCCAGATTGTCCTCAGAGAACAGAGGTGGTGAGAGCTGGTGCTGGTAAAGGCGGTACTCTGACCAGATATTAGTAATGAGACATCATTCAATCTCATTCCAAGGTCATTATGTGCCAGAAAAAGGCCTCCAGTGTGGCATAATCCTCTTCTACATTTCAAGGGGTATTGTCAGCTGACTCCTGTATTGGGAGGAATTCTATTTCAGCATATTTGGAACCCCATCCCCACTTTGCAGGACCTTCTGATAACCAGCAGGATCAGAAAGCTCAGCCAGTTAATGGAACTAAGTACTCCTGGCTTGTCCTGTCTGAGGAAGATGAAGTAGTGTAGTATTCAGTGATGAAGTCTTTGGTGGGGAACAACACAAAAATAGTGCATCTGATGGTTAGCAAGACAGCTCTGCACCTCACTGGTTTTATGATTCTATGACTTTGAGCAAAGTATTTAAGCCTCAGATTTATCATCTGTACATGAGGGTAACAATACCAATTTCATAGGGCTGACAATTGAATGAGATTTGCATATGCTTAGCTCAGTGCCTGGCACCAGTAAGCACTAGTTAGTAAGTCTATTGTAGACTCATGTCTTCAGGTCATAATTAAAACCTTTCTAAGATGCTAGAAAGAGGCCAGGTAACCACTAAAATTAGAGCTTAGACAGGGAGGCAGAAGCAGCTCTGACAGCAGAACGCTGACTCAACCTTGGGTAAGGACCGTAATCTCCTTGAAGAAGAGGAAGAACCCCTCATTTTATGGCAGGCAGCTTCTTGGTTCCTCCCACCAGGACTGTCTTACAGAGATGGTACCTGCAGGGCAGCATAGGCCTCTGGACATTTAGCTGATGAGTTGGTATCTCAACAGTCAAGTCTTAATGAAATGTATTTGGAGGAGATACAGCAGAGCCAAAACAGCCTCACCAAGGAAGGGGAATGAGGTTGAACCATTTTAAGAGTGTGGAGAAAAAAAAAAGAGTTGGAGCAAGATGGGGTCAAGTTATGACTAAGGCAGTCCCACAGGAGGAGGCAGTGAACATTGGGGACAGAGCCAGCCTGAGCAGTACTGAAGGAGGTGAGAGGGAAGGCTGTGGGCAGGAGAGATAGACCTTAGGACCCTTTACCAGTCAACTACTAAACCTCACTTGCAGCAGAAATAAGCTATATAGTCAGGTGTCCTTTTGCCCTGGAACAGGACGGAGGTCACAAAGACTTCATAGTCATAAACAGCTGGTGCTAGAATCAGCAAATGGCTAACAGCAGGTAGGGAGCTGGAGAGGTTAAGGGCTTCCCCAGTTGGCTCATCCTAAGAGGTGGTCGAGCTGGAACTCACACTCGATTTCTCTGGATTTTGTGGCCTACCATGCTTCTGAACTCTCCCCCAGTCTTTGTACCTGCAACAAAAAGTGAAGGTCCATACAGCAACCTTGACTAAGGAGTAGACAGTAACTGGTTTGCTCATAATAGCTGATGTGACTTACATCATTGGGCGCTTAGCATGTGTGCAAAGGGCTTCACATGGGTCGCTTTGCTGCTTTCCATGGCCCCGGTCAGTAAGCACTGTCAGTATTGATTTTTTTTACAAATAAAGAAATGGAATCTCTGAGAATGTCTCAATAAGGCAGTAACAGAGCACCTCCAGATCAGCACAAATTAGAACTCAAGTCTGTATAACTCCAGCCTCACGAGCTTTCACCATTGCCAGCTCGAGCCCAGGAGCCCAGGAAGTAAAGGAATGTCAAGGCAGGAGGGAAGGACATCAAAACGGAAACATTGTGAGCTGGAGCGGGGTCCAGAGGCAGCTAAGCATTCCTGTAGTGGGCAGGGTCTGAGCCTGTGCTTAGGGAACAGAGACATTGTTGTCTGATCAGAAGAGTATTCATCATTGAAAACCCAATTCCGACATGCTCTCTGCTGGGAAAACAAGTGTCCCCAAGAGTGAGGCCGATCCTGCCCTAACACTGCCTCCATGCCTCATCCACACTATTCTTCCAGTGTTGCCTTTAAGACACAGCGTGCTGCCCTTGTTCGAATGCCCAGGAAGCAGACACTCTGATTTATGACCACCCCTGATATGTGGCACAGTGCCTGGCACATGCTTGAATGGAGAACCAGGAGAACAAAAGAAAACGACACTGTAATTAGGGAGCAACCAGCCAGTCTAGTTGAGGGACCCACCCAGGGCAAGCGAGCCAAGTAAACACTAGTAAGCCCAGTAGCTGGCTAGTAGAAGAATCCCAGAACCAGGCACGAAAATGTCAAAGGAGGTTGGAGCTGGTGGCAAGGAGGTGGTTGGCTGAAGCCAGCTGGGGCCAGTCAGAGCTGTTGTCAAGGGGAACATCTTGAAGAAGGCAGAAAGGAGCTAGATGAGTATTCCAGTCAGCAGCACTATTGAGAGGCACCTTGAGTCTCGGGCCTGACGCAGCCAGGAAACTGGTGTATCCCAGCTGCACAAAGTAATGAAGGGCACATTGCGTGCCACACTCGGTGCACAGCTTCAGTTAGCCACTGCGGTACCCCTGAGCCAAGATGTAATGAGAAACGGGATCAGCTCTATTACAGAGGCAGGTAAAAGGGCTGAGGGCGGGAAATCCTGTTAGAGTCAGGGATTGGCAGGAGGGTTTTGTTACAGTCAGTGTCATGGGCCTAGTAACTCTCTCTGCTGGGCCCTGAGAAGAGGATATTGTTGTGATCAGTCTAGTACAGACCTGAGATATAAAATGCTTGGCAAGTTAACCGGGGGCCAGAGAGGCAAAAATCACCGAAGGGCAAAGTGCTTTTGTACTTTTATACCCTAAAATGAAATTGTCAATAAATTAACTCAGTTTTCTAGAGTCTTGCATCCTAACACATAGCAAAACCATCCTTGGTTTTAATATTTTGAAAGTAGAAAACATTCCAGTCCATCTTCATAAAAAGTCTTGTCCTGAAAATTAAGGCCATCCAGCCTAATAGCATTAGCAAGACCCTGCTCTGGCGGTGTGTTCTGCAAAGCAGTTCTTGCTTCTGTGACAGATGATAGATGAGGCAAATTGGGGAAGACAGTGGAAGGAACATGGAGTTTGTCGGCTCTCAGCTGCTAGCTTGGGCAAACATTTGGCTTGCATCTGGACTGGGGACCTCTAAACCTTATTTTCTTACTATAGCACAAAAAAATGTGACCTGGCCTAGAAGGTTGGAATAATGCCTGGCACACACAAGGAACCCATTTTTAAGGATTAAGATTATAAATAAGGAACTGGGAGCATATACTTAATATTTAATTTGTACACTTCATTTCTTTTGTTTGTCAGTCATAAGCTCCATGCAGTTCTTGTTTGGCTTGTGCTCAGTTGCCCTGTGGATAATTGTCAAAAGTCAGCCATTGAGTCATTGCTGTCGAGTCGGAACCGACTCATAGCTTAACCTCCAGTAGATTTTTGGAGATTGTAAATCACACGGTAAGAGATTGCCCATCTTTCTCTCCAGGAGCTGCTGGTGGATTTGACCCACCAGAGAGGCACATCCTTTCAGCTAGCAGCTCTTGATATCAGTAAATAACAGTGAAAAGAATGTACCTCCCAGATGTCCAGTGCTGAGCCTGGACCAGGCCATGGACAAGAACAGGCGAGATCCTGGAAGGAAGGAGAGAGGCTGTGGTCGGAACATCAGGAAGGGCCCTGACATGACGGCAGCGCGGGCTGTGAACCGTAATAGGGAAGATGTGTAATCGGGAAGGGTCCTGACAGAAGTGTGTGTATTAGTTTAGGTCATTGCCACTTTAAGCGTCTCTGGGCCCTGAATGTCCAAAGTGGTCTCGGGTTCAATATCTGTTACCTCAGATAGGGATAGAACATTCTCATGTCCTCTGAATACAGCTCAGAAGAGTGAGCCAAGGAGCCACAGAGGGTGGGTGGTTTAGCCAGAGTTACTATTTCTTGACCACTCCCTTGACTCATCTTAATTTACTTACTCCTCACCATTGCTCTTTGAAGTAAGTACTGTTATCACCCCATCTTACAGTTAAAGAAGCTGAGGTTTAGGTAGGTGAAGTCACTTACCCAAGCATAGCTCTTAATTAACAGAGCAAGCCTTCCTCCAGTGTCAGAGGCTCCAGTGTCAGAGGCAGAACTCACTACCTTGGTGCCATTTTGCCACCATCACTGGAATATTTACCACCAGAACTCACTACATTAAGGTCAGCTGGGCATTGAGTAGAGAGCTTGACCTTAATTAAGGGTCTTTAGCCTACTTGGATTTCATAAGAAGTTTACTGTTATCTGCTATGTCGCAGGCTCAGTTGTTGCAGGCTCAGTTGTTGTTGTTGTTGTCACCTGTGACTCATAGCGACACTATGTACAGCAGCTCTGAAGCCTGCCCTGTCCTGAGCCAGTCTGTCTAACTCCGACACACCTACCCCCATCACTGTATCAATCCATCTCATTCGGGGTCTTCATCTCCTGTGCTGTCCTTCCACCCTTCCCAGCATGATATCCTTCTCCAAAGACTGGTCCCTCCTGGCCACGTGCCCAAAGTTTGAGATGGAGCTTCAAAATCCTTGCCTCCAAGGAAAAGCTTTTTCACCCTCTCCAAGACAGACCTGTTTATTCTCTTGGCAGTCTATGATCTGTTCAGTACTCTTCTCAAAGAGCACCACAGCTCAAAGGCTTCAATTCTTCTTCTGTCATCCTTACTCATTTCCAGCTGTCTGATGTATATAGCAAGTAGTTGGGAAGACCATGGCCTAGATCAGGCACACCTTAGTCCCTAGACTTTAGCACTTTGGATCCCTGACAGCAAACTTCCCCAATGCAATTCATCTTTTGATTTTCTGGCTGCTGGTGCCAAAAGTGTGGAGCCAAGCAAGGTGAAATTGTTAATCTATTCTCCATCTATCATGGTGCTGCCAGCTGGCCTAGTAGTGAGAATCTTTTGTCTTTTTGATGTTAAACTTTAATCTATATTGAAGGCTACAGTCCTTAACATTCTCCAGCAAACATTTCAGGTCCTCCTCAGTTTTGGCAAGCAAGGTATATGCATCTGCATATCTCAGGTTGTTGATGTGTCTTCTCCAATCCTGATGCCACAGTCTTCCTCATAAAGCTCAGCCTCCTGAATGATCTGTTCTGCATACAGATTGAAAAAGTATGGAGACCCGACACATCACCAATGCACTCCTTTCCTGATTTTTGAACCATGCAGTGTTTCCTTGCTGTGTTCTGAGGACTGCTTCCTGGTCCAAGTATAAGTTTCTTATGAGTACAGTCAAGTGTTCTTGGATTCCTATTCTTCTCAAGGTTAGCCACAATTTGTTGTGATCCACACAGTCAAATAAATACCTTTGCTTAATCAATGAAACACAGATAGACATTCCTCTGATACTCTTTGTTTTTTTCCACAATCCATCTGACACTGGCAATAATGTCCCTTGTGCCACAACCTCTTCTAAACCCAGCTTATATTTTTTGCAGTTTTCTGTTGCTGTACTGTTCCATTCGTTTTTGGATAATCTTCAGCAAGATATTGCTTGCGTATGATATTAGTGATACTGTTTGATAATTTCCACCCTCTTGTCAGGTCACCTTTTTTGGAATGAAAAGAAATAAAAATCTCTTCAGTCAGTTGGCCCCAGATGCTGCCCTGGATGTGCTCACCAGGTTGTGCCCAGGCTCAGTACTAGTGTTAAAAATACAGAGTAGAGTCTGGAAGCCTGTTCTTGCTTGCAAGAGTTCACAAACTGACTGATAAGCTTGCTGGGACACAGAAAATTACAGTATAATGTAGTTGTATAAATTGTTGTTATGTGCCATCGAGTCACTTGTGACTCATAGCAACTCTATGTGTCTCTGACACACTTACCCTCATTAACCCAGTCACTGAATCAATTCATCTCATCAAGGGTCTTCCTCTCATACACTGTCCCTCCACCCTTTCCAGCATGATGTTCCTCTCCAAGGACTGGTTCCTCCTTGCCATGCCCAAAGTATGTCAGATGAAGCCTCAGAATCCTTGCCTCCAAGGAGTAGCCTGGTTTCACCCTCTGTAGGATGTAGGATGAACCTGTTTATTCTCCTGGCAGTCCATGATATAATGAATACTCTTCTCCAGCACCACAGTTTAAAGGCATCCCTAATAGTTTTCCAGCCTTCTGACACATAGCAAAGTAATTGTGAAGACTGTCCTGGATCAGGTGTACCTTAGTCTATAGATTGACATCGTTGCTCTTCAGTACTCTGGAGAAGTCCCTGACTGCAGACTTTCCCAATGCAGTTTGTCTTTTGATTTGATTTCCTGGCTGCCAGTACCGAGAGTGTTGATTGTGGAACCAAGCAAACTAAAGCTGTTAACAGTCACAATCTCTTTGCTATCTGTCATGATGCTTCCAATTGGAAGTGAGAAACTTTGTCTTCAAGATGCTGAGCTTCAATCCATATTGAAGGTTGCAGTCCTTGACCACCTTTCTACAGCAAAACCTTCAGGTCGTCCTCAGTTTCAGCATGCAGGGTTGTGTCATCTGCATCACGCAGGTTATATAAGTATTAACATTAAATAAATGCTTTGAGGGTTCAAATGTTGAAATCAGGAGCAGCTTTATGACAAAAGCAACATTGGAATTGGGATGTTTCTGGATAAGGAAGGGTGTTCGAGGCGGCAGACTACAGGAGGAAAGTCCTGAGAGAGTGGCTAGAGGGTGAGAGAGTGTGAGAAGGTGTTGGGAGCTAATAAGGTAGGCCAGACACTTGAGCACCTCCAAAGCCATACCTTGGGACTTAAGCTTTATTCTCACAATGTTCTCGCAATGAAGACTCCTTCAGGGCTAAAAATAAGAAATCATCGGATCAGAGTTTACTATTTTGTGGTTCATTCAAGAAAGGGAAGCCTATACCAGGTAAAGAGGACCCAGAAATAGCCATTGCCCTTTCTGTCACCAGTTCCCGGTCTCAGGGCTGATGGTCTCCACTTGGAAGGCCCAGACCGACTTAGAGAATGTCTTAGTGGCTGGTTGGGCTGGGCTGGGTCAGGAATCAGTGACTTGTCCATCTTTGGGAGACTTCATTTTCCTAACAGAGAAGGGCATTCCTGTCTCCAAGGCTGGGCAGTCTCTCCCTCATGCACATCAGGGAAGCTGGTCATTGAACATCCGACAGGTCTCAGTTGACTCTTAAGAACAAAGAATCATAGTTGGCAGTGTCTGGGGAGGGTGTACAAGGTACTGTGCTGGGTCTTTTTACGCTTTGTCTCATTTCATCATCTCAGCAACCCTGAGAGGTAACTACTCATTATCTCTATTTCACAGCTGAGAAAACAGGCCCAAGGGGGGTTTGGATTGGTGCTTAGGAGCATATGCTGTGTGGTCAGGTTACCTGGCCTTGATTCCTGACTCCTCTAAGTCTCAGTTTTGCCATCCGTGAAGAGTGAATGATAACAGTACTGGTCTTTGGGACACTGTATTAAAAAAACAAAACAAAACAAAAAACATTTCACACTCATTGGTGTCAAGTCAGAACTGACCCTCCAGTGGGTTTTCAGAGGCAGTAAATCACATGAGAGGATTTCTCCCTCAGAGTAGCTGGTGGATTTGAAATATCTGCCTTTAAGTTGGCAGCACAACTCTTTACCCATGAGGCTGCCAGAGCACATAATAAGCACTCCATAAATTTTTCCTTTCCCCAAAGGACATGCATTTCATAAATGAGGCAGCCAAATTCAAGCTCTTGCTTTGTAAATTTCAAATCTTAATTTCTTGGATCCACCGCTGCTTGTGTTCAAAAAAGCAAAGCTTTGAAATGGAATGTTTCTAGAATCACAATGTGATTCATAAAAATGTCGCCTGAACTGAGGTGACAGAGGCCTTTGATTCCAAAGGCCGCCTCCCGCCTGTTGGAGTCCTCACTTCATCTCTGGCCCAGCTAGCAGGGGGACTCCAGCAGCCTGGAGGGTACCTTCCCGATCTCATATGGACCTTTTCCTCATTATTTTCTCTCCTATTCCCAGTGAGAAGAAACGCAAGCCTGCGTGGACCGACCGCATTCTTTGGAGGTTGAAGCGGCAGCCCCAGGCTAAGCTGTGTACCCCTAGTCCACTGGCCCCCCATTTCTCCCTGTCTCTGAGGAACTACGTCAGCCACATGATGTACTACATCAGTGACCATAAGCCTGTCACTGGCACCTTTGACTTAGAGGTGAACTTCCGAGCTCTGGAGCTCTTTGCACAGGGACTGCCTTACGGGGCCACATCCCTAAACCCCACCAGCCCTGGCCTCTGATATCACCTCATCCCCTGGGGACACCTATAGGAGGACATGATTGACTTTCCTCCCAGGTCAGGTATCTCAGTACTAAGGAGACGTTGATGGCTCTGTCTATCAAAACCACATTCAAACCATTTGTGAATAGGTTTCCATTTCTCCTCTGCACTTCCCTTGGGGCTAATGATTCCATTACGCTTATTACCTACTGTGTGAAATAGGACTTCCTTTTATTAGTCCTAAACTTATCTGGATTGAGTTTCAAAGGGAGCTCCCGTCATCCTTGTATCTTGCCATCTAATGACTAAGGCAATGTTCACCTCCTTCAGGCTGCTGGCTGCCCCTTCAATGTCCTTTTTCTACTAGTTTCTCTGTACTGTTGTGGCCTTTCAAATTCTTATAGCTGCTCTCACCAGAGTCACCCCCTTATACCCCACAACTAGATTTGGTCCTTTGAGTCAGGAATGCTAGAGACCTGAAAACAGCTATCCAGCTTCTTTCTTAAACCTCTCAGCACTTGACTTCCTGTGTTAACCACCGTGCTCTCGGCCCCCTCCACCCTGGCAGGGACCTTTCTCTTTCCAGGTGGTCAGTCAAGGTCAATATGTTTGAGGACAGCCTAGGAGAGTTCTATACCCATTCCGCTGGAGTGACCCCTCCCCTCACTCTGGAAGGGCACGGGACAGTCTCTTCATAGGGGAGTGATGGTAAGGGATTCCATCCAACCCTTTCCCACCCCTGTGTGTAGATGAAGCCGTTGCTCACTGCCCCGTTAATCACCCTGAGCCCTGAGGGCCTGTGGACCATGGAGAACGACATGGTGATCAGCTACTCCTTGGCCCCAGACTTCCTCAGCAGCCCCTGGGACTGGATCGGACTGTACAAGGTGATGTCGTGGGTGAGGCAAGGGGGTAGCAGCCACATACACACTCTGGTTGTCTTTCTGGGGACCTCACAGGCCTGGGCAGAGAGACTGAGGGGTTCACTTCACTCTCAACCACTCAGGGGAACCTTGTTCACCCAGGGGCTGGCATTGGGAGGAGGGAAGTTATGATGGCTGGACCAGGAATGAGATCTTCTTGATAGGACCTGCTGTAGGTTCCTTGTTCTTCTAGACCATTGACCACCCTGATGGTCCCCTACAGGTGGGGCTGCGACACATCAATGACTACATTACCTACGTCTGGGTTGGGGACAACCAGGTCTCTGTCTGTGAAGGGTTGAACAAGGTACCTTCTCCCTCCTAAGACAATTATTTCACATCCCAAACATGGGGTCTTTCCTGAATACTCCTCTGTCTTCTAGAAGGAACAGGGGACTGGGTAATTGGTGAGCTGTTTGGTGCCCAGGACCATGGACTCACTATTCCTGACTATCCTTCTAGGTATACATCAACACCAACAATATCCCTGAGACCAAGGATAAGTTTCTCCTCTGTTATTATAGCAACAATCTACGTTCTGTGGTGGGGATAAGCAAACCATTCCAGGTAAGGGGCGCTGGTGGGCCCATCATGGCATACCCTGAGGCCACAGGCTTTGGGTCCAGCTGTAATCCAGTACAGCTGTATTTGGCTGGGAGATGGAAATAATGAAAAGATATAAAAGGGAATCCTGTCCTTTCTCCGTCTGCTCACCATTTGCTTTCTCCCAGCAGATCTGTCCCCGATCCTGCTTTAAGGACAACATACTGGATGAGTCCCATCCACAGATCTGAGCCAGGACAGGAATGAATCCAGGGCGGAGGCCAGAGCTGGCAGCCAGCTCAGCTTTCCCACTGCCAGGAGCACTAGGGGCCCAGTCTGCCCCTGAGGAGGCAGTTGGGCACCCTCCTCCCAGAGCGAGTGCTAACCTTACATCTCTGCTCTCTTTAGTCCAGATCTCTGGAATTGACTACTTAAATACAGGTTTTTGTTCCTGAGATGTGAATGAAGCCAGCTGGTTTGTCAACAGAGAAGACTCGACTCGCGGATAGTCCACAGGAGAGGGGAGGGACCCTTCAGCCTGCATCTCATTTCTCAACTTGCCCCACCCCCACTTCCAGTCCCACGCCCAAGCAGGCCTGCCAGGCACATGCCCCATCTGGCACAGACCTGCATTCTTGTCACGCCATCCGGGGCCTGGGGCTGCCTGGGAGGGGGAGATGCTCACATTTGTATGGGCTTCATAGACTAGTTGGCACAAGCTGCATCAGGGTCCAAAAGTGTTGGCAAATCATTGTTTGTCCTGAGGAATGGGTAGAGGTTCTGGGCTCCCTGCTTTCAGCAGGAACAGTATGGCTAAAGGGGGTAAGAGGGAGGGGCCCACGACCCAGCCATAACAGGGGGTGTGGGTAGGTTGCTGAGACTCCTTACATCAGCACAACCTTTCCCCTCACCCCCTACATAGAATCTGACCCCAGAAATTCCAGGTCCTGGTTAGCTCATGCTGGTGAGGTAGGTCCCAGCCTCCAGCCTGCCTTCTTGTGAGGGTGGGCAGGTGGCAGAGGAGCATATGCCCCTCAGCATTGCCAGGAGTCTCTGGGCAGAAACTGACCACCTCTTTGGATCTAGAAGTAGGTGCAGACAGGACTGAGCCAGCATCGGGGACATATTGGAGGAACTAGCCCAGGGGGTCTGTAGGTGCTGCATGGACGTGGTCTGTCCCCACTCCTGCCACTCGCTCTAGTCAATGGTGACTCAGCAGCCCTTCTTCCAGAAGACATCTCAGGAAATCTGCTCTGTGACTGTTAACACCCAATCTGTATCCCAAGACCAAGGATCCCCCCGCTGCTCTCCACCCTGGGAGTCACGTGGATCAAGAACTGTCCCCCTGGCTTCTAGCAGGCAGTGGCTGTCCATTTTGTGTCTGTTGCATTGAGGATAATTAGAAACATGGCTTTTACACTTGTGTGTGTCTCTTTAATGATCATAGTGGGAAGGTATGGGTATGGTGAACTTGGACTCTAGGAGCAGGAGCCCTACAGATCTCAACTAGACAACATCTGAAGCTGGCATATGTGGCGTGAATGGAAAAGGGATGAGGTGGTGGTCCTCTGGGTCCCAGGACCTGTTGAGACATACCACATAGTCTTGGACATTTAGTTTACTTTGCTATTAAGTAAACTGGAATTATTGGAACCGAGAAGACTGAAGGGAAATTTCTAACTGGCTCATCCTTTCTTTATTCTACCCTTCACTTCTCCCTAGTCTTGAGCCTTCTTTCTGAGTTAAACTACTCAAATGTTACCATCATTTCTCTCCTTTCCCCACTTTCTTCTTGTTAGGTTGTTATGTGCCATCGAGTCAGAATTGACTCAGCTGACCCTGCAGCAGGTTTTCAGAGGCAGGAGGAGATTGTTTATCTTTCTTCCTCAGAGCAGCTGGTAGATTTGAACCATCTGCCTCTGGGGTGGCAGCACAACTTACGCACTAGGCCACCAGAGCTCTCTAGATGATTCTCTTCTCTGTCCTCACATGGACAGCCATCATGGGTGCTGTCACGTAGCACCTTCATTTGACAAAGACCCAAGGCTCAGAGAAGTGGTTGTCCCTCCAAAGTTAAACACACAGCTGTAGTGATCATGACAGGAAAAGAAAGGAAATGGATCCTGGACCCAAGTTTGGATTAATAATCATTGTTACCCACTTAAAATAATGTGCCTACTTGAGATTATTGTGAGAAAGAATTAGGGGGGAAAAAATCTACCCACACAGTACCCATTATGAACCTCCCCTTAGCCAACTCTAAAGGAGTTTTGAATACAGCTGTGGGGCTGACCTCCTGTCTTCTTCCTTCCACCTCTCCATTTTTGTCCTTTAACTCCTCACACACCTCTATCCCTTGCCTCCTGCTGCAGGGCCCCTCCGGGTCCTGGGAGGGGCAAGTCCAGTGTGATTGAGAGGCGGGAAGGGAAGGGGGAGCGCTCTCCCTCCTTTTGGCCTCAGTCAGGATATGACCTCTGGGTGGAAACAGGAAATAAGTGAGACTTGGTGTGCACTGGTCTCTGCGCTTGGCTCCATGGCTGATAAGGACCATTGTGTGGCCGCCGGGGATGAGACTGCGCTGGATAGATGTGCGCTTCCCGGAGGAAGGAAGGAAGCTTTGCTGGCCTTTCCTGGGCGGAGGAAGCTGTAGGGAGGGAAGGGTGCCTGCCCCTGGGACTGTTGCCCGCCAGCAAAGGTCTTCTAGCCTTCAGCCCCTCCCATGCTAGCCTCTTCCTTTGGAAATGTCAGTTTCCCCCGTCCACTTCCCCTTTCTTACTTCCTATAAGGAATGACTGGAGACCAGAGGGCTCATTCCCAGGCCAGGAAAGTGTCAGGCTGTGATTTAGCAACAATAAAGATAGAATAACAAGAACATTGAGGGGTGGAGGGCAGCTGGGGTGCTTATTGGAATGTAAAGGCTAAGAGAACAGAACTACAGGGGGCTCACACACCAACATCCAACTACAGGCATTGGAAACACAAGAATTTTGTGCTATTCTCAGTACCCCCTGCATCTCTGCCCAGCCCCTCCACACAGAATGGCTAGCACTTACCCTCAGCAGCACTGGCCCCTAGTGCACAAGGGCCTCAGCTGCTGCTGTGGGAGTCAGGCAAATTGGGATAAGTAGGGGCAGTGCCTGGTAATGGGCTCTCTTGATTTAAGGGAGGATGTGACCCTGTTTTAGGGAGTGGTCACAGTGCTCTCCAACTGACACTAGAGAATGGGCAGCAGGAGAGGCCCCGACCATGGCGTTGCTGGGGAAAACAGTCGCCTACCCTTTGACCTGGAGCCCAGAGTCCCCCATGGGTGACTCCATCAACTACTCTGGTTACCTGGGACAACAGGCATTTCCTCCAACCCTCAGCCCCTCCTCTTCCTGCCCCAACCTTCCGGGCCAAGTGGCCTCCCAATCAGACCTGGGCCACTCCAGCTGTGTCCTGAGAAGCTGGACCAACTACATCCCCTGGGGCTGGAGCTGAAGCTGAACCAAGTGGCCATCCAGGCTCAAGACCATAGATTCCTGGCTCCAGGAGAAGCTAGACCAGCGACCAGGCGGGCGGGCTTGCGTGGAGAGACACTGGTGCTCAGCGCACTGGCTGTCCGCAGGGCACCATGGCGCTGCAAGTGGAGCTGATACCCACCGGGGAGATCATCCGCGTGGTTCACCCCCACAGGCCCTGCAAACTCGTAAGCTGGATGCCCTGGGCTGGGAGGAGAGAAAAGGGACTCATCAGGGACCTGTGGGCCCCCTCATGCAAACCTCTCTGGAAAGAGATGAAGAGTTGGGAGGGATTCTGCTTGGTGGAACTGAAAGAAAGAGGGTTAAGTGGGGGAGGGAAGAGGAATAATTTAAGGACCACAGACACAAAGTTTTGCAAAGCTGAGAATTATGTTTTAATTCTTCTCCTTCAACTCCCTTAACTTCCACAGACTGAGCTATGAAATGCACATCACTTGGTGACAGTGCAGCTTGAGGTGGAAAAGACTAGTGCATAGTACAGACTCAGTTAATGCCTCCCCTCTCCTTTCTGGTGTTCCAGACCTGGGTGCTGGCCGGGTGGGCTGAGAAGTGTGGTGGGCATGGGGGTAATTAGAACTGGCTAACTGCTCCTCCTCCGGGAGGCAGGGTACGGGTCAGGGGGACCCTGAGTTGAAGGGGTCAGGTCACTGCTGGAAGAGGGTGTATGAGTGCCCGGGGAATGTGTGTGTGTGTGTGTGTGTGAAGGGAGTGTGTGTATGTAAGAGAGGTGTGTGTATGTAACTTCGGGGGGGTTTGTAGGGGAGTGTATGTGAGTGAAATAAGGGCGTGTATATGACAGAGAAGGGAGGGGGTGTATGTGAGAGGTGTATGTGATGTGTGTGTATACTAAGAGGGATGTATGAGTGTGAGAGAGGGGTGTTGTGTGACAGAGAAGGGAGTGTGTGTATGTGAGAGGTGTGTATGTGTATACTGATAGGTGTGTGTGTGTCAGAGAGAAGGGTTGTGTGTATAATGTGTGTGTGTGTGACAGAGAAGGGAGTGTGTGTATGTGAGGGCTGTGTATGTAACGTGCGCGTGGAAGTGAAAGAGAAGGGAGTGTGTATGGGTGTGTGTGTGTGTGACAGAGAAGGGAGTGTATGTAATGTGTGTGTAAGTGTGCGTGTGAAAGGGGGAGTACACGTGTGTGCATGTAATATATGTGAGAGGTGTACGTATGCATGTGCACGTGAGAGGGGTATATGTGTATATAATATGTGTGTGCAAGGTGTGCGCTTGAGAGGGGTGTGAGTGACTGTGACGCGCCTGGCCTCGCCTGCCCCTGGTTCTGGGGTGTGCGGACTAGTCTGCGGACCAGGCCGGCCGGGGCGGGGCGGAGGGTGCGCGCGCGCCCAGGCCGGGGCTCTGCTCGGGATGACGACAGGCGGCGGCCCGGCCCCCGGCGGGCCCTGGGCGGGGAGAGCGTGTCGGGGCGGCTGACTCCCGAGCCAGCCACGCCGCCCGCCCAGCCCCTCCCGCGCGCCCGAGGAGCCGAACCGGTGGGTACACGGGGCGCGGGCGCAGGGCGGGCGGCCCGGGGGCCTCTGCCGGCCAGCGGGATGGGAAGAGGGCGAGCTGCGGGGCGCCGAGCCGGTCGGCATGCGGGGTCGTTGGCCCTGGGATCGCTGGGGAGCGAGGGTCGGCGCGGCCCAGCGGCGCCGGGTCCTGGGAGCGCGTGGCACCCGAACGCAGCCTGGCGGGGACTTAGTTTACTTGCCCCTAATGTGAGGGTAAGGGGAGGCAGTCAGGAGCGCGGGACCCTAGCACTCTGCGTGCCCCTTCCAGGCCCCCCCTCTGCCCTGCTCTGCCTTGAGGTTCCGGAGAAGCTGCCCGAGTCCCGCCCCTTCCCGTTCTCTGCCCGGGGCTCAACTGCAGCGCGTGTGACTGTGGAGGGTGGGGGGTCTCACGGATGAATGAGAGAATGAATGGCTGGCCCTCAGCCTTACTAACTCCCGGAGCACTCCAGCCTCCTGTTCACACGCCTGGGCCCTGGGATGGATTCATTCATTCACATCTCAGCGTGCCCTAGGCGTGTGTGCCCAGGCAGGAACTGGGGGTGGTGGGACAGACAAGAAAACCAGCAATTAGCATGTGTTGCGATAAGGAGGGGCTACGTGTGGGAAGCACCAGTAAGGGGTTCCGGAGGAGGTAATACCGGACCTGGTCTCCTAGGATGACTAGGAGTCAGTCAGGTGGGGAGGGGGGAGGAGGCGCTGTGCCAAGTAAGCTGCAGGTGCAAAGGGGGAAGCTCAGAGAGCCACGTGTGCCCGGTGGCAGGGCTCAAGCCGCCCGTCCAGTCTGTGTGTGCTGTGCGGGCGCAGTGTAAGGAGGAAGGGACTGGAGAGGACTAGTGACTTGGTCACAGGGAAAGATAGGGGCCTGACAAGAAGCAGAGCTGAAGCCCTTAGCTGGGTCCTAACAAAAGGAGAATGTCCTATAAACCACCAATCTATTAAGTGTTAATTGTTCTAATTTGCATGTTTAAACATTGTGGGCTGCTGTAGACAAATGGACTGGAGCTAGAGAAAGGCAGGCTGGTGAGAGGGAGGCCTCTGTGGTTCAGGAAAGCAGTAGTGATGGTCCCGCGGTGAGGATGTAGCAGGTGATGGGGGCTAGAAGTCAGAAGCCAGGGAGAGGACAAATAAGATGTAGCTGGAGGTGCCTCCCTCCTTCCTAAACGTTTGACAGAACATCAAGGTGCCCTGTTTAATTTTTTGTGTGTTTTCTTTTTCTAACTTTCCACTGGGGCTGAAATGAAAGTTTGCAGAGCAAATTGGTTTTCTGTTCAACAATTCATGCACATTGTTTTCTAACATTGATTACAAGTTCCACCTCAGAACGCGACGCTTCCCACTGCCTCCTTGTATTTCCCATTTCCATTCATCCTTCTTTCCTCAACCTTTCTGCTATCCTAGCTTTGTCTCTAGGCAAATGCTGCCCTTTTGATCTTATCTGGGTGGTTGGTCCAAGAAGTGCATTTCTCCCTGGCGTTACTGTTCACCTTATGTGACTTTTTGGTGCTGTGAAGTCAGTTAAGATTTAAAGCGACCCTGTGAACAACAGACCTGAACCTTGTCCTATTCTGTGCAATCCACATAATTTCTGACACACTTGAACCCCACTGCTGCCGTCACTGTGTCGATCCACCTCATCGGGGGGCTTCTTTTTTGGTGATCCTCCATCTTTCTAAGCATGATGATGTCCCTCTCCAAGGAATAGCATCTTCTAGCAACATGCCCAAAGTTTCGCCATCTTTGCCTCCAAGGGCCACTCTGGCTGCACTTTTTCCTCTTTGTTATTATTGGTAGTCCGTAGGATCTTCCGTACTCTTCTCCATCACCACAACTGAAAAGCATCCAATTCTTCTGTCATTCATCATCCCGCTCTCAGATGTGTACCGAGTGATTGAGAAGACCATGTCCTGAATCAGGTACCCCCTAATAGGCTTATTTATTGTTTCGCTTTAAGTTGAATCACAGGGTAGTTTTCAGTTCCAGGTTTGAAGGGTGACGAAGGGCCATACTAGCAGGGTTCCACCAATCTCTGTCAGACTAGTAAACCTGGTCTTTTTTATGATTTTGAGTTTTGTTTCACATTTTCTCTCCACTGTATCAAGGACTGTGGCAATCTGTTTTGGGACAGTCAGAACACCACCTGGCATCATCTAGTTCTTCTAGTCAGGGTTATGGAGACTGAAGTTCATGTGGCACATTAGTCCTTTTGATGCTCTGTTATTTTATTTCATTGGACCCTGCTCCCCAGTAAGTCAATAGTGTCCATCAGGCCAAAGGCTCATGGTTCTGGACCTGGAGTTACTGCAGATTGTGCACAATCAAGACAGAACATCTTAAGCTCCCACCCCTTCTTCCATTATTCTTTCACAATAGTCCTTGGTGGGCCAGCCTGAGCCCAGAACTAAAATTTGTTTGGTAAATATAAACTGAGCACCTGCTCTGTGCCTGTCCAGCACTGCTGGTGAGCGAACCATCTGTGGTTGTTCCTGTCCCAAGAGGTTGAGGCTGGCTGAGGCTGAGGGGGAAGCTGGTTATAGCAAAAGACTTAGAATGCCTCCTCCAGATGTGTGTGTGTGTTCCTGTCTAGGGGTCCATTTGAGACAGCCCACTGCCCTCCCCTGTCCCACGCCCCCAGAGGTCAGATTTGGAGCATCTGGCTTGTAGTAAAGGGCTCAGGATGATCTAGGGTTGCTGGGCCCGCCCCAGGGCTGCAGTTTCACCTAACCAGGTGGGAGGAGACCTATTGACAACCTTGGGAAATATGTCCCTAGTCTAGGTCACTCAGAAGCCATGACCTTTGCTAACTCCTGTGCCTTAGGCCCTTTGAGACCTACAAAGGCCATTGCTCATTCCCTAGCTGTTACTTTCAAGACCTGCATGCCTAGAGAACTACACACCACCCGTAGGGGCCTATTCTGACAGTCACCAGTCACCGAGGGAGGTCTGTCTGGTAGGGTAGCCATGTAAATCCGTCCAGAGCAGATGAGATGTTAGGAGGAAGAAAAGGCACTATTCTGGGCCCTCCCCTTCTGGCAGCCCTATGGGATCAGAAAGAGCTTGGATCCCGAGTCTTCTGGTCCCACTCTCCCTTATCATTAACCCAGAGATCTTGACCCAGTCATTTCACCTGTGTAGTCAAGTAATAATACAGACCTTGTGACCTGGCTGGGGACATTGGCGGGAATAACGCAAGGACGGCGGCCCCGCAGCGCTGGCGGAGGTCGTTCACACTCTCCGCTTCCCCACCTCCTGCCGCCCGCGCTTCCGTCAGTGGGGCCAGGCAGGGCACCGGGAGTCACTGGGGACGGGACGGGACGAGCCTGGGCCAGCCCCCAAGCCCGCCCGCCGACGGAGTGACTGCCTTCTTCCACCGCCGGGCGGCGGCTGCGGGGGCGCCCACGGGCATCCCGGGAATGCGGCGGCGCAACTCGGGGTGGCGGGGGTCCGGCTGGACCCCTCCGCGCACGGATTCTCCTCATTCCAGCCGCTTGACGCGGCGGCGGGCGGGGCGGGCACTGCGGCCGCGAAGCCCCGCCTTGCTTCCCAGCCCCATTTTCTCCTGCACCAGCTGCTGGGTCTGCGGTCTTTTAATGCACTCCTCTCGGCCGACAGCACTGGAAGCTGAATGCCCTAGTCACTCTCTTCTGGATTTTAAAGCCGGGAGCGCCGTATAGCGTGCCCCTCCCTTTGTTCACCTCTGTCCGGCTCCCAGCCTCTCTCTTCTTCCCTCGCCGTGTCTCAGCTGCGCGCGCGGGCTCCCAGTCCCCTTGCCCCTTAGGGATGGGGGCTATTTCCCAGCTGGCGTCCTCTGCGGGGTCCCCGGGGCCGTGACTCCGGCCGGGCTGTTGTTCTCAGGGTAATGAGCTTTCCCCTCGAGGCCGCACCTGCAGCAGCTTCACCCCTCCCCAGGGAGCCTGGGTCCGAGGGGGATGGGGTGCGGCAGTTTAGGCGCCCTCCCCTATTTCCCTTCCCGGACAAGTCAATGTCCCGCTAATCTGTGCCAGGTTCCTTATCTGTCAGGTGGAGGCAGGTACCTAGGGTGCTAGAGAGCGCTTTATAACTACCAGCCATGCCTGAGAGGCTTTATCCCTTAGATAAGAGTGACCCAGGCATGTTTGGAATGAAGTCTGGAGGAGAAGAGGAAGGGCAGGGAGGAAAGTGTGGTTTATTAAAGGCCTGGGAGGTCCTTGAAGGGACCTTGGAATGCCATAGTATTTTAAGTGTTGTGGACTGCTATCTGAAGAGTGAGAGGTTCAAATCCGCCAGCCGCTCTACTGGAGAACGATGGCTTCTGTTAAGATTTACAGGCTTGAACCTGGTGCAGGGTCGCTATGATTCATAACCCACTCAAAGGCCTTGGGGTTTAGATTTGAGTGGTTCCTCAGCACTTCTCTCAAACCATTTTAGGAGGATATTTGCCTCATTTTAAGGAGGAAGAAACAAGCTCAGAGAGTTGTGACTTTCTGGCAGGCGTCATACTGTTGTTATGAACTGTAAGGTGGGAACCGACTCATAGGTGACCCACCTGTTGTTATGAACTGTAAGGTGGGAACCGACTCATAGGTGACCTACCCTCCAGGGAGTTTTCAAGAGATTGTAAATCGAAGGGAACAGTGTGCTCTTGGGTTGACAGGGCAACTCCTTACCACTGCACCACTAGAGTTCCCTTGGCGGTCATACTACTAGTAAGAAAATGCCAAACTTTCGTCAAGCTCTAACAAATCACCTCCCCATGCGTTCACGGAGGGTTGGAGGGGGCGGGGGGAGTATGGGCAGTTGTTCACCCCTTGGCCTGAGAGCCTGTCCTTCCTGAGGGAGGGCCCAGCGAGGGGTGTGGCTGATAGGGGCTGCACTGAGGTGAAGGAAGGGGTCCTGGAAGAGGATGTGGGGGGGGTCCAAAGGGACAAGAGAAGGAGTCCCTAGCACCAGCCGCAGAAGAGAGAGGCATGAGGGGCTGTGAAGCACACAAGTCTAATTTGTGTTGTTTAGAATGGGGTGCAGAATAGTTTCAAATAGTGGACGTAGACACAGATTTCCCAGGTAGAAAAATGAACCCCTAACAGTGGCTACGACACGGTGCCCTAGCCAAAGACGTTTGTGACCTTCTCATTTGGAGCGCTTGGCACTGAAGCAGGAACCAAAACAGTTTCCCCAAGCTTGAAGGCTCGGGGCCTGCCACTCAAATGTATTTACGCGGGGCTGGGGGGGGGCGCCGTATCCCACACCGAGGCTCCGCCTGCCCGGGCACGCCGGCCGGCCGTATTTGGACATTTGTTCTATTTTTAACTTTTCTCTGGGACTCGAGGTTGGGGTGAAGGGGGGAAGGGAATCTTTCCTCTGAAACCCATGGTCCCTCGTCCCATGCCTGGTCCAGCTGCACAGTGTAGACATAAACTCAGAAGTCAGTTCCGGGTCCTCATAGACCCAGCAGCTGCCTGGGTTCCGGGCCCCACCCTGGAAGCAACTACGTCCCTCTTGGAAAACCTGACTCAGGCAAAGCCCCCGCCCGGTCGGAGCCCCGCCCCCGCCCCCGCCCCCCAGCTCTGTCCCGGGGTCCCCCTCGGTCCTCTCCCCACCCTGCTATCTGCAGAAGGACGGGGCGTCCCAGCCCGGAGCTACGCGGGGTAGCCGAGGGAGCCCTGCGCCTGGGGGCTGCGCAGGGAGAGGCGCTGGGGGCGGGGGCGGGGGCGGGCCGGCCCCTCCCTTGCTGACGCCGCCGCCGCCGCCGAGCTCAGGCCGGGAGCGCGGGAGCAGAGCTGGGCGCCAGGCCGGCGGGGCAGGATGCGCTACCGGGCGTCGGTGAGCGGGGTGCTGGGCAGGGCGGGGGTCCCGGGCTCTCCTCCCTACCTCTCGGCCTCGCCAGGAAGCGGGCGCGGCCCAGGAATTTCGGGTGGAGAAATGTCCCAAAAAGTTGCAGGGAGGAGGCCCGAGGCGGGGAGCACCATGGGGCTCTGGGACTCAGACTGGGACAGCAGCTCTTGGAGACAGCTGGGAGCCCTGAGACCCCCCCTCACCCAGAGGGCAAGTGGGCGGGGCCTGCTGCCAGATTTGGGGACCGCCTAGGGGCGGGACTGGGAGTGGGAAAGGTGAGGGTCAGGCCTGGAAGCTCAAGATCTTGTTTTCCCCCAGAGATCAGGGCCATATGGGGTTATAGGAGACCCGAGCCTTTTTAGTATGTTCATTGCCCGCCTCCACCTCTCTCTTCCCTGACCTTTGACATTCTGAGGTGTCTCTTTATTGAGGAATCTTGGCTTTAAGGTTGTGGGATAAGGGCCTTACTGAGTCTGTGTTTTCCGCACCCTGCTGGCCTCCGCGGCATCTGGACTTTTCTATGGTGAAACCCCTACTCCCTTGAGGTCTCAGGGGATTCTCAGTGGAGAAGTAAATCTGAGGAGACTAGCAGCTGGAGCCAAGGGAGTGGCCCCTACAGTGCAGAGAGGGCTGCCCCGCTTCTGGGAAGTGTGGAGCACAGCTGGAGTGGGTGGCCTCCGAGGAATCGCTCTCCTGTGGGCTGGAGGGGGGGTCTCGTGCTTCTCCACACCACACAGATTAATGGGCACAGCACTGGGAGAGATACCCCACATCCCACCTGCACAGTTATTTTAAGCCATTTGTCCTCCAAAGCGCGCCTGTGACAGATGGCTCTCACCTGAGGTTACCTGGTCTGACTTCCGCCTTCTCCTTGAGGAGTAGGCCACCCAGGGAGGAAGGATTTTCTCAAGGTCACTGAGCAAAATTGAGAGGCATTTCTTCTGTGTCTCAAAACCAGCAGCTCCCTGGATTCAGTGGCCTAGCTCCCCTGTCTCCTGCATTCTGTGTGTCCAGGTGCCCTGTGCCTGGGTCTCTTGTGCTCCACATGGCCTCTGCCTGGTGTCCTGTAACCCAGCGTATTCCATGTCCTGGGTGTTCTGTGTCTCCCTGCCTTTCCGCCCCTTGGCCACAGTAGAGACCTTTCTGGCATTGACTCTCTCCTGCAGGCCCTGGGCAGTGACGGGGTGCGGGTGACCATGGAGAGCGCACTGACCGCCCGTGACCGGGTGGGGGTGCAGGATTTTGTGCTGCTAGAGAACTTCACCAGCGAAGCAGCCTTCATCGACAACCTGCGACGGCGCTTCCGGGAGAACCTCATTTACGTGAGGCCCAAGTGGGGAGATGGCTGGGGTGTTGGGGGTGCAGAGAAGAGGGAGAAGAAAGAAGGGGGCACCAGGATCATGAGATCATGACCTGCTTTCTTCCACTTACATCAGACCTACATTGGCCCCGTACTGGTCTCTGTCAACCCCTACCGGGACCTACAGATCTACAGCCGGCAACACATGGAGCGTTACCGTGGCGTGAGCTTCTATGAAGTGCCCCCCCACCTGTGAGTGACCCCAGCACCCCTAACAGTGACCACCCCCATCTCCACCCTCAGGTCAGTCCACCTCAGTGGTCATTCGAAAATGATCCACAGCTCCCACTAGTGATGAATCCTGACTCATATCTGAGGAATTCCAAAACTCTGTATTCTAGAATGACCTTCTGCCCCTACCTGAGATCAGCTTTTTAAATTTATGGGAAGAACTTCACCAGCCTCCACCCCTACTCACATCCATGACTTCTCCTCACACTACCTCATATGCCCCCCTCACCTTAGTGGCCCTCTGACTACCACCTATGAGACATCCCAGTCCTCCTTGTAAATGGTCCCAACTTCCACTTGAGTGACTCCCAATAGCTTCCCCCATTGAGAAGTTGTTGTTATGTGCCATCAAGTCTCCTGCAACCCTATGTACATTAGCTCTGAACCCTGCCCTATCCTGAGCCAATCTCATCATCTCCAACAGACCTAATCCCATTTCTCCAGTCACTGAGTCAATCCATCTCATACTTTGGGCATGTGGCCAGGAGGATCCAGTCCTTATAAAGGGACATCATGCTTGGAAGTGTGGAGGGACAGTGTAGGAGAGGAAGACCCAGGATGAGATTGGTTGACTCACCCATAAACAATTCCCTTAATTTTCCCTCTGAAAGTAATCCTTCATCTTCAACTAAAGAATGACCTTTACACAAGGGACTCTCCTAGACTCCATCCTTAAGAGTCTACCCTGATTCCCAGTCACAAGTGTTCCCCTGCCACAAGTTGACCCACCATGATCTGAACTCCCTGCCCCCAGGTTCGCAGTGGCCGACACCGTGTACCGGGCATTGCGCACAGAGCGCAGGGACCAGGCAGTGATGATCTCTGGGGAGAGCGGGGCAGGTAAGACAGAGGCCACCAAGAGGCTGCTGCAGTTCTATGCAGAGACGTGCCCAGCCCCTGAGCGAGGGGGTGCAGTGCGGGACCGGCTGCTGCAGAGCAATCCTGTGCTGGAGGTGAGAGGACAGCAATGTCTGGGGGGCAAGGGTGGGGACATGTCAGGTGTCTCTCATACTACCCTGCCCCCTTCCAGGCCTTTGGGAATGCCAAGACCCTTCGGAATGATAACTCCAGCCGGTTTGGAAAGTACATGGATGTGCAGTTTGACTTCAAGGTACCTGTGGGTGTATCCAGGAAGGAGACAAGGGGGGTCCCTAGTCAACAGGTGATCACAGACCAGGTCTTTGGCATCAGCAAATATTTATTAAATGCCTACATCAGAAAGCTGGACAATGAGTAGGGATGATAGAAAGAGAATTGATGCCTTTGTATTGAATATACCATGGACTGCTAGGAGAACAAACAGGTTTATCCTAGAGAGGGTGAAACTAGGCTACTCCTTGGAGGCAAAGATTCTGAAGCTTCATCTGACATACTTTGGACATGTTGCAAGGAGCGACCAGTCATTGGAGAGGGATGTCATGCTTGGGAGGGTGGAGGGACAGTGCAGGAGAGGAAGACCCTCGATGGGGTAGATTAATTCAGTGGCTGGAGTAATGGGGGGTATATGTGTTGGAGACAAGGATTGGCATGGGATAGAGCAGGGTTTAGGGCTGTTGTACATAGAGTCACTATGAGTTGCAGGTGACTCGACAGCACATAACAACAACTGTGGCCTAATGGTATATGGTTTGAATTCACCAGCTGTTCCACATGAATGAGATAGGCACCCTCCTACCATGCAACTTACTGCCTCTGAAAACTCAACTGGAGGATCAGCCAGGGGTCAGCTCTGACTCAATAGTACACAACAACACTGTGATAAGCACTGTTGTAGATGCAGGAGATGCAGTAATGAAACACAACAGAGAAATTACTGCTCCTGGGAGAGAGACACTAAATAGAAGCATAACAAATTAGGCAGCCAGGGTCACAGCAGAAAAAGAAGGACTAGAGGGACCACTGAGGGGTGGGACAGTTGCTGTTTTAAGTAAGACAGCTAGGATAAGGGAACAAAAGATCAGATACCTGGGAGAGAATTTCCAGGCAGACGAATCAGCCCGTGCAGAGGTCCTGAGGTGGGAGCATGTTTGGAGATCAAGGGACAAGCAGGAGCCTAGAGTGGCTAGAGGAGAGATAAGAAGGGCAAGAGGCTGCAGGCTCTCATAGGTCTTTCTAAAAACCTTGATTTGACATGCACGTGACATAATGTTTGTGAATAATAGTAAGAAAAACCTTGATTTTTATTCTAGATGGAAGGGGAGAGGGACTTGACTTTTTTAAAAGGGTCACACTGGCTCCTGTGTTGAGACTAGACCATGTTAAGCATAGACTATATGAAGGCCAGGACAGAAGCAGGGAAACCGGTTAGCATACGGATGTGATAATCCTGGTGACGGATGACAGTGGCTCAGCCTCATGTGGCAGTGGAGGTGGTGAGCGATGATTGGTTCTGGATATGTTTGGAGGTTAAACCAGCAGGATTTGCTGTCTGATTGGACAAAGCAGCTTCTTGAATGAACTGCACGCTTGTTGGTGAACTGAACTACTTGATGGAAGGAGTCGCTGTTGCCCTAGAAGGGAAGCTGTGGGAGGAGCGAATCAGCTGTGGGAAGCTGATTTGAGGAGGGGAGATGAGGTGTTCATTTGTGGACTTCTTGAGTTTGAGATACCTGTCGGGCATCCAAGTAGAGCTGCCAGGTAGGCTGTATCTCTTTTACAGCCCCTTAAAGTGGGGTTAGGTCTCCCCATTTCGTAGATGAAGAACTGAGACCCAAAAGGGTGATTTGCTTGAACCCACTGAGCTAATAGCAGGGGTGGAATTAGTAGCCATGGCTGGCTGATTTCAAAGCCTAGGAGTGTCTGGAAGAGAGAAGTTGGGCCCTGTTCCCCAGTGTTCTTATCCAGTGCCTGTGCTGTCCCTGTCCACAGGGTGCCCCTGTGGGAGGCCACATCCTTAGTTACCTCCTGGAGAAGTCCCGAGTGGTGCACCAGAACCACGGAGAGAGGAACTTCCACGTCTTCTACCAGCTGCTGGAAGGGGGCGAGGAGGAGACGCTCCGCAGGCTGGGCTTAGAGCGGAATGCCCAGAGCTACCTGTACTTGGTGAAGGTGAGTGGCGGGCAGGCAGGGAAGGTGCTACCCAGAGGACACAGTGCCAGAGCCGTGACCCAGCTGTGCCCTTCCTCCAGGGCCAGTGTGCCAAAGTCTCCTCCATCAATGACAAGAGTGACTGGAAGGTGGTCAGGAAGGCTCTGACAGTCATCGATTTCAGCGAGGATGAAGTGGAGGTGAGACCCCTGCCGGTGACTCCCTGTGTCCTTCTGTCCCACCCTGAAAGTCACCTTCTGCCTTTAGAACCACTGTCCCTTCATAGCCCTCATCTCTCCAGCGCGGCTTCCTGCATCTGTCCACACATCACTCTCTGCCCCTCCCAGAATCTCCACCTTCCCGCCTGCCCTCTCCTCTCCCTCAGGACCTGCTGAGCATTGTAGCGAGTGTCCTGCATTTGGGCAACATCCACTTTGCTGCCGATGAAGATAGCAACGCCCAGGTGACCACTGAAAACCAGCTCAAGTATCTGACCAGGGTGAGTGGAGTGGGCAGAGAGCAAGGTGAGGGGTGGGGCAGCGGGACACCCTCACTGTGCCCATCCTCCCATTCTTCTCAGCTCCTCGGTGTGGAAGGTTCGACGTTGAGGGAAGCCCTGACACACAGGAAGATCATCGCCAAGGGAGAAGAGGTGAGTCCAGTCTTTGCCTGGGGAAGTGTGTCTGAGGGAGAGGTACAGGTGTTCCAGGCAGCCCGCAGCCCCACCATTCCCCTCTGCCTGGTCTGCTCATCTCATCCTCTTTGCTAACGGTTCAAGGGCAGTGGTAGCTCAGTGGTATAATTCTTACCTTCCATAGAGGAGACCCAAGTTCTATTCCAGACAAGTGGACCTCAGTTGCAGCTACTATTCATCTGTGAGTGGACAGTTGTGCATTGCAATGGTGCGGAACAAGTTTCAGGGAACTAGGAAGAAAAGCCTGGTGATCTATTCCCAAAGATCAGCCAGTAAAACCCGTAATGGATCACAGCGGTCCCATTTGAAACTATTCATGGAGATACTACTGGGCTGGACAATAGTTTATTCCCAGTGTGCACAGAGTTACTGTGTATCAGGGGTTGCCTGCATGGCAACTCAAGCAATCTCTTAGCTCAGAGAGGCTCAGTGAGCTGGCCAAGATCACACAGGAAGAGGGTGGCAGATTGCAAGCAAGACTTCCACCTTCAGGAATGGGTCTCTTGACCCTCTGCTACCTTATGGTGTGACCACTGTGTCCTCTGATACCTGCTCAAATCCCAGGGTCACTGGGAGTGAGGAGGGCCGCTAGTCATGTTTTCTGATCTTCTGCTTGATCCTAACGAGGAAGTGAAATGGAGAGGGCATCTGGTTGTTCACCTCCCTGACTCACCCTCTAGCTCCTGAGTCCGCTGAACCTGGAGCAGGCAGCATATGCCCGGGATGCTCTGGCCAAAGCCGTGTACAGCCGCACTTTCACCTGGCTGGTCGGGAAAATCAACAGATCACTGGCCTCCAAGGTGAGGGCTCCACCCAGACTGCTTCCAAGGCAGCAGGGAGAGCAGACCAGGAAGAATGGGGCCTGGGAGATGGGAGTTTGCTGACACTTGACCCATGCTCTTGGTTAAATGACTGGCCCTAGGATGCTGAGAGTCCCAGCTGGCGGAGCACCACAGTCCTTGGGCTCCTGGACATCTATGGCTTTGAGGTGTTTCAGCACAACAGGTCAGCACCACTGTCTCCCTCTCCCTGCCTCTCCTCCTACCCTCTGTATCCTGGTCCCTCTGCTCTAGCCCAGGCACCCTAGCCCATCCCATGCTGTGATTCTTACCTTACGTGCTCAGGGGCCTGCACTACATTTCCCTTCCTTCTTGTCCCGTGGTACCCTTGATCTACTGTGGGTCTTCTCTTTTTCCCTTCCAGCTTTGAGCAATTCTGCATCAATTATTGCAATGAAAAACTGCAGCAGCTCTTCATTGAGCTCACTCTCAAATCCGAACAGGAGGAGTACGAGGCCGAGGGCATTGCGGTATGTGAACCCCCAAAAGCCCCTATGAGCCACAGGAAGCCCAGTCACCAGGGACTATCAGAGAGGAGCTGCTAGGACCCCATTGTAATGTCTCCCTGTTCTTGACCTGTCAGTGGGAGCCAGTCCAGTATTTCAACAACAAGATCATCTGTGACCTGGTGGAGGAGAAGTTCAAGGGCATCATCTCCATTTTGGTGAGTCCTCTGCCCCTCCAAGACCTCATGTAGGGGAGGATGCCATCTCTTCCCTTTTCTCTCCTGATCTGTCCACAGGACCAAAGCTTGCAGCTGGGCAGGGACAGGGCAGGGCTGTGTATTGAAGACGAGGTCTAGATGCATCCTGAGGAAGGCTCTTTATGAGCTGCCCCTTCCCCTGGTCTCTCTGTTCCCCACACTGTGCTCCACATCTCCTGTGCTCAGCAGCCCTGCCCCAGCACAACCCTTACCCTGTCCCACATCCCCAGGATGAAGAGTGTTTGCGTCCTGGGGAGGCCACAGATCTGACCTTCTTGGAGAAATCGGAGGACACGATTAAGCATCATCCACACTTTCTGACGTGAGTAAGGGAGTCAGAGACAAAGGCTCCAGTAGGAAGAGGCTGGGAAAACTGGATCCCCCCAGG